TGTGTGTGTGTGTGTGTGTGTGTGTGTGTGTGTGTGTGTGTGTGTGTGTGTGTGTGTGTGTTAGTATAAATTACTTCTACAAACAGACGCTCAAATGATGCATTGCTATTAAAGTAGCTAAATAATAAAGAATTCATTTTTGTTAGCTTAATATTAAAAAACAATTAGCTTCAACGTCCTTGATCACAGATGAAGGCGACTTTTCTCTGCTGGCGAAAGAGAGTAGGATGTGCATTGCAATTAGGGAAACTTTAATCGAAATTCAAAATTTAAATTGAAAAGTTAGTCCCCGCTTCCACTGGGCCGCGAGTCAATAAATGAAGTTTCATAGAGAGATCTACATATCTTAATAATATGAGTTGCACAATCATATGCATGGAATATATACGTATTTGACTACGTTAATTCGCATCCTGTTCTCATTTCCGATTTCATTTTCGATATTTGCTCGGAGTACGACTTGTCGAGCGGAGCAAACGGCAAAAGGAGAAATCTCGCGGATGCAACATCTCTAAAAAGAAAATATATTTTGCGCGCTCTTCATACAAATATACGAATGACTGATGGTTTGACCACATAAAAAGTCTGGTTTCTTTCGCGCTGGTTTTGCACCCAAAGGGTGATATTTCATTTTACTCTTTGGAAACGTATCTCTATGTATTACACAAAGATAAAAAAATGCTGCGTGAACTTTTATCGTATATATATTTTGAAATCTTATGTTTATGAAAATATTATAATAATAGATTATAATTCTTAAATCACAACATATATACAAAATGGAAATACAACGCGTAATAAATGGCGAAGAAAACATTTTATATCGTTACAAAAATTTTTACGAGATAATGGAGCAAAAAATGAAAAGATTGTTAAAAATAATTCTACCATATAAGCCATATAGGAGGGAACAGCATTAAAGTGCCTTGACGGATATATCACATGTTAATGTCAGTTAATGATATATCGATCGGAATTCATTATGATGTAAAGGAGGTCACAACAATTTCCTTGATGCAAAAAGTTTTTGTTTTATTTCAATACGCCTGATACACTGAGTGGTCTTTTTATCACACAAACACATACACACACACACACACACACACACACACACACACACACACACATATGTTGCGATGTTGAAGGATTTATCTATAAACAAAATAAAAACGTATATATGCAAATATGTGATCGTGTATTTATATTTCCGCCATTCACCTAGATTGCAATACCGTAACATCAATAAAAATAGCACGCAACACGCAATACGTTACCAAAAAACATAGTTCCTAACGAATAGGTATGAACGATTTGATAACCGAGGTATTCGAAACTTTTGCGGGCTCATAAAATTTGTTGTGCTGTACTTCGGGAAGAGTAGTTCGGATTTATGTATATTCGCTCCAAATGAAACGCGATGTGAATTCCTTCGATTGCCGCCTCGCGGCTTCACTTCGACGATATAAAATATCTTATTTACGTGACTTTACAGGCTGCTCTTCACGACGTGGAAAACTTTCGTTTTACTCGATGGTTACTTCAAACGGCGATTTCAAATATTGATCTTCTTTTCTTAAGTAAACTGTCGAGGATACGGCTATTATTAATTTATAAGAAGCTTACCTAGCAACTATTATTAATTTACAAGAAGCTTAACTGCCAAGAAGTCAATTTTAATTTTTAATATAAATGTACATTGTTTTCTGTTTTGAAGGTTAGACAGTTTAGAAACTCAGATAATTACCAATGTTACCAACCACCTTTGATATGTCATCAATCCTTTCTCCCTGTGGCGGGTAGTTAAATTATTCTCTTCCAAATCGGGAAATTCGATCGTGTCGCGGGTTTCATACAGTGCGCTATTTTATACTTAAACGCCTCGTTTTCTCGTTTCTATCAAGCTGCAAGTTCGCCGAGGCGAAAACCATTTGTTCAGCTTGCCAACACCATACCTTCTACTTGTGCAGCATGACGAGAAACTTGCGGTTTGCCGTACCGATTGCAGCTTTCAAGTTGCAGCGGGGGTTTTCATGGGTCAACGCGCCTCGACACAAAGGCCCTCCTCTTTCGCTTACCTCCTCTGTTTCACTCTCAATGTTGTCAATAAAATTCTCCATTGTCGAGATACGTAACGGCTTCCATGAGCGAGATTATTTTCACCGGGAACTGGTGCATTATCATATCATTGCCAACGACACTACTTGTTCGCTTCTACAATCATTTCACACGTTATAGAGTAATGAAATAATACCTGAGGACATTTCTCTCGTTTCTGATTACGAACAAATTGTATTGAACAGCAGTGAATACATAATGACGCTTCTTTTGACCGCCTCGCAATTTCAATTTTGAATGAATTGTTGCTAATCAGATGTCAATATTAAATATCTCTCAAATAAACTTATTACCTTATAGCATATTTTTAACTGTATTTTTTTATGTCTGTTTCAGATTTTGAAACTTTTAAAATCGGCAAATGGCTCGGGAGAAAAGCTTATTCTAAAACCTGGCATCGCTCAAGCTAATGATCTTTGAATCGTGTGCGTGGCAGATGAATCAACAGCATGACATCAACGTCACGTATGTTTCCCTCGTCAACGAAACAAACTTTAGTTACGTCGATATCTGCGTTATTCCCCAGGATACTGAGAAGATGCTTATAATCCCGTTCTTAGTAAAACACGATCGCTACGATTAATTGGATTATCTAACGAAGATCTGGAAAGAAAATATAAAGTGGCGCAGCCAGGTAATTTTTATCCTTCGTAGAATATTCATCCTTCGTATATTTCAAGAGCCACGATGATGGACGCAACAACGGATATAATGGATACAATGGACGTATACAATTTAACGCACGATATAAATTTAATTTACAACAACCTAACGCAAAACGATACGATGCCGAATTGCGAGGCGGAATTGTCGATCATCGCCCTGGTCAATCAGATCCTCTACTCCATCGTCTGCATCGTTGGACTCCTCGGGAATTCTCTGGTAATTTACGTCGTTCTGCGCTTCTCAAAGATGCAAACCGTCACGAACATGTACATCGTGAACTTGGCGATCGCGGACGAGTGCTTTCTGATCGGTATACCGTTCCTGGTGACGACGATCAACTTGCGCAGTTGGATCTTCGGTAAGATCATGTGCAAGGCATATATGACTACAACGAGCATCAATCAGTTCACCAGCAGCATCTTTCTGTTTATCATGAGCGCCGATCGCTACATCGCCGTGTGCCACCCGATATCGTCCCCGAAGATGCGCACGCCCTTCATCTCGAGAGTGGTCTCGCTTACCGCCTGGGCCACCAGCGCTCTCTTTATGGTACCGGTATTTCTCTATGCGAACGCTATGGAAACTCCAGAGGGTGTGGTCAGTTGTAATATTTATTGGCCCAACGACCGCGGCGGCCAGACCACCTTCACGCTTTACACCCTAATTCTAGGCTTCGCCATTCCTCTAGTGCTCATACTGATTTTTTACTTCCTGGTGATCAGGAAGCTGCGAACGGTGGGCCCGAAGAACAAGTCGAAGGAGAAGAAACGGTCGCATCGGAAGGTCACCAAGTTGGTATTGACGGTGATCACCGTTTACGTATTCTGCTGGCTACCCTACTGGGTGACCCAAGTGGCACTAATATACACGCCGCCGAAACAATGTCAGACCAGCATCAGCATCACCAGCTTCCTCCTGGCCGGTTTCCTCAGCTACAGCAACAGCGCGATGAATCCGATCTTGTACGCCTTCCTGAGCGACAACTTCAAGAAGAGCTTCCTGAAGGCGTGCACCTGCGCGGCCGGCAAGGACGTGAACGCGGCGCTGCACATCGAGAACAGCGTATTCCCACGGAGGAATAAGGCCAACGCCGACAGGCTGCAGGCCAACCGGATGATCGCATCCGGACAGTCCAGATTGGAACTCGAGGATGAGGAGGCGGAGAGAGGATTGCTCATCAGCAAGACCTCCACCACCACCGTGACCATGACGTCGCGATCGAACATTACGGTCAGCAGCGAGCCGAGAGATCCGGCGCAGAGAGATAAAGATCTAATTAAGAATGGCGCTCAGTTGACCCTGTTGACGCAGGTTTAAAGTACCGCCGTCTGAACGTCCAACTGTTGCGACTCCAGAATGAGGGGCTCTCCATTGCGAGAAACAATAGACCCGAAGGATTGGCCTTTCGGGCTTATCTCGCCGGATTTCTGTGATTATAGCAATGATACCCCGAGTGAGCTGTGCTATCATTGATCAATGAGCTCGAAGAAAATCGAGATCGAACATTGGTGGAATGTCATGTCCAGTGGATAAGAAAACGTTAGGTTTCTCCGAGCGTTCTTCGTCAACGAGTGCCGTCAACGGTGACCTCGAGAGCTTTCACCGAGTCGAATCCGAGTGGAAATTTCGCAGTAGCTAGAATATACGAATACAACATGGAAGAAACTGCGCTTCGGATATGGGAATTGAATTCTTGGTGCTATATCTCTTTCTCACACGGACGCGATAATCAATTGGATAATTTGAAAGTCGATGTTAGTCTAGAAAAATTTTTACGAATCGCAATGTGTATTTTAGAATCTGCGCTATTGCAAGGATGACGGACGAGGAAAGGCTGGACCTTGAAGAAAATCTTTTTCATGCTAATAATTTCCCTGAATACAACAATTGTTGTATCTGATTGTCGTTCACCATATATTATAATATTATCCGGACAATATCGACACGACGAAGATCTCTTAAAATTCAATGATATTGCGCTCAATTCTAAATGCAACGATTGTCCTAGTCAAGGTGTTCCTGCACGATGGAGAAGGTGAATTTTTAATTCTTTTTCCAACGAACAAAGCACTGGACCGAGAATGAATCGTGATAAATAACTTTCTTATTTCGACGAACATCTAAAAACATTGAAAGCCAAAGTTATAGAAAAAGTTGGAATCAACATCCGCCTATTGATCTCTGGATATTTACGGAAAAGTTTCTATTATTTATTCGTTTCTTTTTGCAGTGGCATTGAATATGCGTGTGTGGATGACAGCAGAATTTTATCGTGCATGAGTAGCCAAAATTTATTACGAAACAATGTTTAGCATCACACAACATTAATTTAATTAAATATTAAAATCAATTATTGTAACTTGTGTAAGTGTAACGCGAATTTATTAAATATGTCCCAAGAGAAATTCGAACGATTAATAGGACCGTTTTATTAATGAGCCGTGCCAAAAATGAAGGGTTGATTTATTACGCGTAAAGCTGTATGCCAAAATAAGGATGCGAACAATTGCGACTCAAGACAGAATTGCAAATAAGCTTTTCAAGGACGAGGAAACTCTTTTCGAGTGCTTACAAGGCTTAAGAATTCTTTTTTCAACAAGGTTTCTTTTAGAGGAAAAATGACGTAGCTCTCTTGAAGTTTACACCTTTCTTCCTTTTTTTTTTCCTTTCCCACTTGGCTATTCCATTTCATCCTTCCTTTTTCGTAGAACTGTATCGCAATAGCACGGAAATAGCGCACTAATTACGAGCGCTGTATTTTATAATAAGTTCTTTCCTTTACACAAAATGATTTCTTATGTATTGCCTCATCTAAAAAAAAAACGGAGATTCGAAATACGATGAGATAAAATTTTCGATATTAAGAAATTCACGATGAAGGACCACAACGTGACGCGTTTCTCATATTCCAAAATGTAGCCTGTAGTTTATGCCGAGTACGTGTGTGATTTCATCGAACATTTGAATGAATATGGAATAAAAATTGTGGACAATATTTGAAACGAGCCAATAACGACGCCAGAATATTTATCAAGCAAACTAGGAGGCATTGCTGGATCTAACGATTTGATAAATCGATTTGATAAAATAAATAAATTCGCGAATGTATTCATCAATAATCTCGATTAAATACGTTGATTAAATACGTCGATTTTTTACAATTTCTCGCGTTTACTGATAAAATATGAATTTTTCATATAATCTGATTGAATAAATTGAATTGGCTTTATCATTTAAATTTACATTATCGCTTACACCGCTGATGGTTTTTCTACGAAACTTTTATCGTTTTTACAGACCTTTTTTTTTCATAGTTTCAATTTTACTAGTCTTTCTAAAGAGATATCGTACTTTTCGACATAATCAAGTGATCAATTAAAAATTATATGTGAAATACATAAGTGCCGGTCAATTTTCAAGTAAAATATTTGTTATCTAATGTATTAATCTTTAATTAATAAGAATTATAAGACACAATTTGAAGTTTTGTAATATAATGCGTGGAGAAAGTTTCATTCACATGTTACAGCTTTGCTTTCTTATGGCAAATAACGTTAAATTGAAATGTAAGAAAATGGTTGTGTCGAGAACGTTTTTAGAATGATTTTCATGTTGAATCATGTAAATGTAAAACTCAGCTAAAAATATGCTGATTTTATATGTATCTCTGTGCGTCACACGTCTTCTATGCTTACTCTTCAATCAGTATATCTTTTGATCAGCTTTTTGCTTATTTTATTTTCTCTGTACGTTAAGGTTTCATTAGCAAAGCTATAAAATTACATCCCATTTCTTAGAAATCGCGGGACAAATTTTCAAAAGTAGATAATATCATCAGAGTGTATTATTACGCGCAAAAAATTGTATATTTTACGTGTAATTTATAAGATGTGCTATATAAATAATTGTAAAATATTTTTTTCATAAATTTTTTCACAGATTACTATTAATTGACTAATTTTCATTTAATAATCATTTTAATGTAATAATTTATATATAAAAATATTTATAAAGCATAATTTTAACACGAGAGAAATATAACTTTCCTTTTTAGTAAATATACATTATAATAAAATAACGTATGCGCGAGTTTAAAAATATCAATCATAACTTTGTGTTGTATTGCAAAACAAATTCAAGTTTACATTTTATCTATGGCTTATTTATCATTGATGACATTGACGAATTGGGCGTTGGCATTTATTCCGCTATTGCACAAGTCGATAGAATAACTCGATAATCAGGAAAATTATCGAATCATCCCATCCAGCCAGCCACTCATCCATCTCGTGTGATTTATCGACAGCTGCTTCTCCTATCATTTTACATCTGCTAATGTTCCAACGTCATATCGAAAGGATTTTATTCGCGTTAAATTTTGCACGTGCCCAAACTAACGGCGGTAGATGATTCTATTTCAATTTCATCCTACATCCGTTTGACACTTTGAAAAGAAATACAAGACTTAACGCTATACTGCTAAAGTATTAAAAAACAGATGTACATCACGATATTTCTCCCTTCTATTTTTACATCACAGGATGACCTGGTTATGCTTCTTTAAGAAATTAAAAAATACTTTGTATTGTAAGAAACAAAAAGTTTAAAAAAGTTGCCAAAGAAATTACTCATCGTTATTTGTACATCGAATCATTAAATGTATAAATGCAACGGAATATGTTAGAAAAGTTATTTATTTTCTCTAAAGCCAGAAGTCAAACTGAACTAAATGGCAGTTGCTTGCCAAAGTGTCCAACAGTTTCCAAACAGACTCGTACCATAAGCAAATGAAAATTAAGCTTTAACGAATTAAACTTCAGGAGGTGCAAACAGATAATAAAATTTTCTTCATTAGTTAATCTTAATTAGTTAATCTTACTTTGACGAATTTAATGTAGAGCACCGAGCTGCGAGGATAGACTTCAATTGAATATTATAAACTCGCTAAGAAAAAAAAAGGGAGATGATATTTAATTAAATCTTTACCGAGAAACAATTATCGATTTCACTGAAGCACCCGACAATTGAGAACGGTAATAATTTGACGTAAGTCAGCTGTGAGATTTTGAATGTATGATCGGCGAATAGCAGAAGATTTAATCACGGAACACGTGGAATGTGTCGATCAATGTCACGTGTGCTAAACTTTAAACGATAATCGGATTAGTTACCCAGCTTTACCATGCGTGAGCGAGAATTATATCTATAAGCGTGTATTAAGTTATCGTGTAATTATGTCTATTTGTATGTATATGTATGCTTTACTCCATCCCACCTCCCTCCCTCTCTCTTTCTCTCTCTCTCCCTCTCCTCCTCCCCCTTATTCTTTCCCTCCACCTCTCCCTCCTGAATTGTTGAGAAATACACGTGTGTAGTCAGTCATGGAGATTTAATCGCGCGGAATAATTTATATATACAATAAAATGTAATACTTCGCATCTGGGTGACTTTGAATGTTACGCGAGCATAAGTTTCTTTTTGATCGCGCACATTTCCCATGTCTGAATTAGATGTGATTTTGTAAAACGTTGTTGAAACGATTAATCAACGCGCGACGGAAAACTGAAAGCCACTGATCTCTTGAATATTGCGCGAGAGTTTTGTTTTTCTTTCGGAAGATAAATGCAATTTTCACGACTCCTTTTATGCATATTTGAAAATCGTATGCGTACACATCGGGAGAAATGTAATTTATTATGACATTTAAAAGAGGAAAATGTGATGTGATCGTTGTTATTTCTATATTCCGCTTTATTATTTTTTTTTTTTTTTTTATTGATGCACAGACACGCAGACGATTGAATTCGCGCCATGCCATTTTCTTAACGAGAATTAGACCACCTTTTACGGCGACCTTCGTCACAATTTTCCCGTCGCACCTGAATTTCCCGGCGAAGTTCATAAACCAGCGTCTCGATCGATGTGCATTCGTCTGTGAGATCTCTCTCGTGAGTAAGAGTAGAACGGTACGTTAACTTTCTGGAACTTGCCGGCGGTGAGCCATAAACCTCACCGAGTCCGAAGGGATTCCTCCCTTACTTTATGTAACAACGCGCGACAAAAATGCGCCTTCGCACCAAAGTCGCGGTGCAAAAACTGGTGACGAAAAATGAGAGAAGGGGCGGGAGAGGGAGTGGACAGATGGCGTTAAAAGCGTGGCGTTTATGGCCTACAAAACAATTTCCCTTAAAAGCAATGATAAAGATTAATACCCTATAAATTCACCGCGATGCGCGCGCGTTTACGTTTACGGCATATGTGGTATCCCGACACGCTATCGTCGGCACGCTGGATTGACAAATTGGCTGATTCCGGGTATGGTGATATAACGTGATTGTTTCGCGCAGGTTTCAGGCAGCTAACGGATTGGACGTAGACGGACGATCTCCGCGATTTCCCCCGA